CGTCGGCGTCTGAGGTCTGGTTCGGTGAGAAAGAGTTGTGCCTCATTCCAGTTCATCAAATGCCCTGTGGAGTCTCTGTGGAGGACACAGGCGTGCCTTACATCGTCTCTGTTAGAGGCATTTCGATGCTCATTCAGGCGGACTGCAAGATCTCTGCCTGTCTCGCCTACATATTTCTTGGGACAGAATCCACAGGGGATGGTGTAGACGCCTGCTGTAGAAGTTAGAGGTGTGGGGCTGCGTTTTTGTAGTGAGGTCTTTAATAGATATGTGTTTATGGTGGAAACGTTGATGTTACTCATAGCAAGTGCCCGGCGAGTATTCGTGGCAACATCACCACATGGGAGTACTATGAACTGCTTAGGGGGCTGTTCCATGGGCGGTTTGTTGAGGATAGCTTGTGCCTTGAGTCTGCAATCTCGGATGAAGAAAGATGGGAACTGAAGACGTGTAAAGGCTTGTGTTATATAGGTACATTCTTCTTCAAGAAAACAAGGGCTGGAGATGCGAAGAGCTCTCAAGAAGAAGCCAATGAGGACTCCTCTTTTAGTGCGGGTGTCTTGGTGTGAATAAAAGTGTATAAGATCGTCCTTGTTAGTAGGCTTTCTATACACTTTGAAGAGAAGTTTGTCATTGTCGGGAGATCTGCACAGGAGAGCGTCGAGGAAAGGAAGTTTGCCATCGTTTTCGAGTTCAAGTGTAAACTTTGTTGATGGTTCGGCTGCATTGATCTTGTTGAGAAGGGCCTGGATATTGAGACGTCTCGGATAGATACTCATGTATCTACCCATATAACTACCCATTTATTTACCCATATAACTACCCATTTATCTACCCATATAACTACCCCCGTATCTACCCATGTATCTATCCTATTTATCTACCATGTATCTATCCACATATCTACCATGTATCTACTCATATAGCTACCCTAATTATCTATCCCTTTATCTACCTAAGAAAGAAGGAACACTGCAGCAGGCCTACTAGCCCATATGAGGCAGGTCTAAGTCGCCTACCGGTTTATGCCACTGACCCAACCTAGTCAGGTCCAAGTCACATCCACTTATGGAAGGAGCAGGGCATCAGACCTACTAGCACAAACTAGTTAAGTCCAACTCATACCCGTCATGTATCTCTCCAACCTACTTTTTAAACTACACAACTTCTTAGCTTCTATGACGGTACTCGGGTGTTTGCTCCACTCATCCACAACTCTATTACCAAACCAGTGCTTTCCTGTATCCTTCCTTCCCCGCCCCAGGGGGCTCGTGGGAATGGCAGTCTTGTGAGCTGCAGGTGGTAGCAAGCTCTGGCTCTGGCACCTTCTGTGGAAAATACTATATATTTTCCAGAAATACGGTAATTTATAGGTAAATAAATGGCCTATATTGTATATAATAAAATGTATGTTATCAAAAATGGGAAGCCTGCGCCTGTGCAGAAGACACTCGCCATTTTGTTTGAATTGAATAACAGACGTTGTGAATAATGGGAAGAAATTTTCGTGTTCTAGAGGTAAAATTGGGTTGACACCTCTCAAATAGGAAGCAAAATTGTTGGATGTGCATTCCTGCATAACTTGAGATACCAGGCAACTGGACAAGACAGCTCCAGGAACCTCAGATAAGTCTTATGTTGTAATTCTGGCCAGTGTTATTTTCATGTATAGACAGTGAGGTTTCCTGAGTATTTATTATTAAAGATTAGCCGGTATTCTCCCGGCCCGGGCCTTTTCCAAGTGGTGGCCCGGCCTTGGCTCCCTCTATAGGGAGTGTCTGAGACCTAAGTCTCCCATGGGAGGAGGCACAAGTACCTCCTCATCTTTGGGACCAACTGTCCCCAGGCCTAGCCACAAGCTAGGCCTCTCTGGTCTGCCATCCCCACCCCAAGGGGGCAAATGGGAATGACAGTCTTATGAGCTAAAGGCTCGAGCTCAGGCACCTACCCTACCCTAGAAGGGTTAGGCATGGTATCGATCGATCTCTTTTTGAGTATTTCTATTCTATTCTATTTGATTCGCCGGTATGGTATCCCGGCCCGGGTCTCTTCCATTTTGGTGACCCGGCATTGGCTCCCCGGGTAGGGAAGTGACATTTATCGTTACTTGCACCTGCGTGGCAGGTCTTCAGCAGGAAGGGGGGGTACCTCACCGGCCCTATGGCCAGATGACGTACCAAACGTTAGTGTGCACTAACAGTGGCTGGTGCGCAGTGCAATGGAGGCCCAAAGCAGGCCCTCGCAGCAACTTCAGCGAGGGGGGGGGGGCGGATGACGTGCAAGGACTGGAAGTAAGGTTTCCAAGTCCCTGACAGCTAAGTACACAAGATGTGCTGCCTCATCCTCTCGGGCCTGCCCTACTGGGGTCATTGGGAAGTGTCTATGGCGAAGGGGCATCGTAGCCGGGCAGTCTAACAGGTAGTGCACCAAGGGCTGCGGAACCATTCGGTCACAATGGGCACAGAGCTCCTCTCGTGCCCGTTCAACAATCCGCGCAGTGGTGGGATACCCTAAGCGTAGGCGGTGGATATGCACCCTCAGTTCTCTGGACTGTGTCCGAATACTTGGAGGGGGCACCCTGTGGGTTGCCCTGACATACCAACAGAGGCTCCGTGAATCCCCAGGGTCAGGGAATGGGCGCCTGGCCGCACCAGCAGCCCACAGCGCAATCTGGCTGAGGCTGATGGAGATCGCAGCACGTGGCTGTGCCTCGAGGGTTGCAGTCCTAGCAGCCTCATCTGCAGCATCATTGCCAGGGATACCCACATGGCTCGGGATCCAGTTGACGGTAGCCCTACGACCCTGGGCCATGAGAGTCTGCAGGTCACCCCGGATGGATGTGATTAAGTGTATGTTGTCCTTTGGCTCTCTGTGCATAAGCGCTTGGATCGCTGCCTTGGAATCAACGTGGATGATGGGGGGATGCTGATGGTCTGCAAGAGCATGCTGCAGAGCTTGTTGGATGGCAAAGAGTTCGGCCTGGAGGATGGTGCAATGGTCTGGGGGGCGCCAACCTGCTGTCAGATTGCTGTGGAACTTTTTGAGTATAATACGCCTTGATTTCCAGTCAAATTGGTAAGAGATAAGATAAGATAAGATTTCGTTCGGATTTTTAACCCCGGAGGGTTAGCCACCCAGGATAACCCAAGAAAGTCAGTGCGTCATCGAGGACTGTCTAACTTATTTCCATTGGGGTTCTTAATCTTGTCCCTCAGGATGCGACCCACACCAGTCGACTAACACCCAGGTACCTATTTGCTGCTAGGTGAACAGGACAATAGGTGTAAGGAAACGTGTCGGAATTTCCACCCGCTGGGAATCGAACCCGGGCCCTCCGTGTGTGAAGCGGGAGTTTTAGCCACCAGACCACCGGACCACCGGTGAGTGATTTTAAGATATTCTCCTTCTGTTATGTAAATGTGTGTATATATAATCCTTTTTTTTTTAATTTTAATATAAAGTCCACAAATTTATATATTTACCAGAATTCCTGGTGATGTATATTTCATTTGTAATTAATAGGTCCAAAGCAACTTATGGATATGACAGAGGTAGGTATCGAAGGGGGACATTTTTTATGACCTAGGTGTCCCAAATTCCTACTTGTCTATGTAACTGATAAATAATAATTATCTTTGTTATCATTTACTGTTATGTACATAATGAGTTACAGATAAATATAATTTTCCACACCTTCCCCGCCCAGGGGGGCTCGTGGGAATGGTGTCTGCCAACCTCCTTCCCGAAATAGTGACTTATTTCCATTGAGGTCCTTTTGTTGCCTTATTGATAATATTACATATAGTAGATAAAAAAAATATATAAAAATGACACGCAAACCAAATTACATGAAATATTGAATAATAGGTGATAAAGATAAGTAGAATACAAGAATTATGACAATATATAAAAAATATGACAATTCTGCTGTTTTGTACGTTTTCCAGTGTATTTATATCTATTGTGTAATAAGGTGACCAGAACTGTTCAGTATAATGTAAATAAAACTTAACTAAAGATATATATAGTTGAACAATCTTATAAGTTTTTAATTACATTAGCTAACAGAATGCTCCATTCTACTGACTGGTCAGTAACAGTAAATGACCATATGACCTGTCTTTGTAATACTTATTTGTGCTTAATTGTTATCTGTTTACAACAATGTTTACCACTGAATATATCATTACTTAGTTAATCTTAAGTTAATTTTAAGCCTGACCATGAAGATTAAGACACTTATGCAACATATGGGAATCTTTATTCAGGAAACGTTTCGCCACACAGTGGCTTCATCAGTCCAATACAAAGTAGAAAGGCGTAAGGTGAGGAGGAGTTTGAAGTAATCAGTCCCTCAGCCTGGAGTCGATGTGTTCAGTCCATCAGTCTTGTAGAATGTAAGTAAGTAAGTTTATTCAGGTATACACAAATACAGTTACATAGAATTATCATATATAGCAGCATATGTGTAGAGAACCTAGGATAACCCAAAAAAGTCAGACAGAGTGACTTATTTCCATTGGGGTCCTTTTACCTTATTATTATAGTATAAAGGTTATAATATTTTCTTATTGTTCTACAATGAAGATAACATCTTATTATCATACTAAAAAGACTATCTGCGACACCAAGGTCATTAAGACTATCTACAATAACGAGGGTCATTACAAGGAATAAGGTAAAATTTACACGTATGTTAGCTAAAAAATAGAAAATCATTCCCCTCCCTTTCTGTAGCTACATTCTACAAGACTGATGGACTGAACACATGTACTCCAGGCTGAGTCATCACAAGCCTGACCATAATGTTCTACATACAAGGAACTTTGGCATGTTGCACTTAACCACTGTATTTCCTTGTACTTCTATGTATCATGTTCAAATTAATAAATAAATAAATAAACTATTACATTATCTTCACAGAACTGAAACATAATTAATAATATTATTGTTAATAATATTGTTGTTAATAAGGGCGAGTTAAAAAGGGCGAGTGACAGCTTGTAGGTAGTTCCTCATTATTTTAAGTGTTAGTCAGGTGATACTTGTCCCTCTTGTTGTGCACATAAGTAAGTAAATATGTAAGTAAGTTACTGAGTAAGTTAGGTACAGGTACATTTAATTATGTTTAAGTTACTTAGAATAACTTAAGAAGATGACTGCTGGCGGTGTAGCTCCTGGGTTTATGTTTATCACTTAAAAAGTGTTACCTTGACTGGTGAAGGGATCTTGATCCAAGGACTCGGCACTGCCCTTAAATACCTCGTAATTGTGCCATTTGTTCGTTAGATAATAATATAATACAAGGACCCCCAAAGGTAATAAATCACTCACGTTTGTTGTTATCTTGGGGATATATGATTCACTTGACTGCCTCACACATTATTATATATAGTAATAACCCATAAAAAATGACTTATTTCCAATGGGATCCTTGACAATACAACTATCTATCGTTGATGTTATACACAGATAACGTACATGTGGAAAATACTGCATATATTTTCCAGAAATGCAGTAGTTATATGTATATAGATGGCCTTACTGTATTTAATAAAATATGTCATAAAAAAATGGGAAGCTGCGCCTGTGCAGAAGAGTCGCCATTGATGTTTGAACTGGTCAACAAACATTGGTTAATAATGTGAAGAATTTTCGTGCTCTAAGGTAAAATTGGGTTGACACCTCTCAAATAGGAGGTGAAATTGTTGGATGTGCATTCCTGCATAACTTGAGATATCAGACAACTGGACAAGACAGCTCCAGGAACCTCAGATAAGCTAGTTAGATTATGTTATAATTCTGGCCAGTATTTTCATAAATTTAGTTAGTGAGGTTTTCTGAGTATGATACACCTTAATCTCCAGTCAAATTGGTGAGTGATATTAAGATATTCTCCTTCTGTTATGTATATGTGTATGTATATAATCCTTTATTAATTTAATATACAGTCCACAAATTTATATCTTTACCAGAATTCCTGGTGATGTATATTTCATTTGTAATTAATAGGTCCAGAGCAACTTGTGGATATGACAGTGGTAGGTATCGAAGGGGGACATTTTTTGTGACCTAGGTGTCCCAAATTCCTACTTGTCTATGTAACTCTGATAAATAATAATTATCTTTGTTACTATTTACTGCTATGTACATAATGAGTTACATTCAGATAAATGCAATTTTCTACAGTACATTTATATAATAATAATATCTTAATTTACTACAAGTACATGTATACAGACCATAGGTGACATCAATGACATACTACTATAATTTACTACAAGTACATGTATACAGACCATAGGTGACATCAATGACATACTACTATATAGAAAGTCCCTTGTTATGCTCAGCATTTCGGGCAAATTAGGTCAGTGTCCCAGGATGCGACCCACACCAGTCCACTAACACCCAGGTACCCATTTTACTGATGGGGAACACAGACAACAGGTGGAAAGTAACACGCCCAATGTTTCTACTCTGGCTGGGAATCGAACCCAGGCCCTGCCGTGTGAAGTGAGAGTGTTAACCACCAGAGCCTGGTGGCCCGAGTGCCGAATAGATTTTAGTAGTTATTATGTACTTGGATTAGTTTGCCCAAAATGCCCTGGCTCATGATAGACTTTCTTTGTATTTAGCAAACCCAAATTGTAATTACACTTTGTAACCTTTACAAAGAAATAAATGTTTTACTTTACTTTAAAACTAGTAATCAGCAAGAACTCATTTAAAATTAAGTCCTTTCTAAAATTTCTCATATACGTTTAAAGGTATATGTTAATATAAAAATTAATAATTTTGTACCAAAGGAACCTTAGGAAACTTACCTAACCTTATAGCAAGTGCAATTTAATTTTGCTTAATCTAACTAAATATATTTTAGGTAAGTTTACAATAATTTGATAAACACAATGAAATATATTTTTTTTATTAGGTTCAGAATGATTTTTGCGAAATTATCGCATACACAAATTTTCGCTTGCCTTATTCAGCAAGAAGAGCACTGAACACTGATAAAACCTATTTCATTCAGTTTGGAAACAAAGCTGCAAATGATCCAATTAACATAACGCTAAATGGATCATCAGTCGCAAGACTCGCAGAGGGAAAATTCCTAGGTATCCACCTTGACAGTAGCCTTAAGTTCTGGACATACACACAACAAATCGCCAAGAAAATCTCCAAGACTGTAGGCATACTATCAAAGATAAGGTACTATGTTCCACAATCAGCTCTCCTGGCACTGTACCATTCACTCCTATACTCTTATCTTGCATACGGAATTTGTGCATGGGGATCAACAACATCCAATCACCTAAAACCCCTCATAACCCAGCAAAAGGCAGCAGTAAGAATGATAACAAATTCCCACTCCTGCCAGCATACCCCACCAATTTTCAAAAGTCAGAATCTGCTCGCCATTAAGAATATTCATACTTATTCATGTGCCTACTACATACACAGAACAATACATGCAAATATAAACCCTCCACTCAAACTTCTCCTTGCCAACCTAAAGAGGACACATGACCATAACACAAGACACGCATCTCTTTTTGATATACCTCGTGTCCATATCACACTGTGTAAAAACTCCATGCACATAAAGGGCCCCAAAATATGGAATTCATTACCAGAAGATATTAAAGTAACCCAGTCTGAAAATCAGTTTAAGACTTTTCTCAAAAGCCACTTGATCACCCTAGACTAAATGCTAAATACTCAGTACACACATACTCACCTATGTACTCCCACATCATAACTGAAACAATCACTTTGAACCTTTTATCCATTGTTGACAGGAATATAATTGAATCATTTTTTTTCACAAAAAGCATTTTCGAATATAAATACATCTTTGTCTTGTACATATTTTGATTCATTTATAATTAATATTCTGCTGTACAACTATGAAATAATTACTATCCTACTGAACAACTATGATATAATTCTTAGTGTTAAGTAGACTGTAAGCCAATAATGTTAAGTTGGCCCATAATGCCTAGGCATAATAGAGGCTCTCTTTGCATTGCAACCCACTATTGTAAATACAAAATCTCAGTGTACTATTTGCAAAGACATAAAATAAATTAACCAAAATCGCAAGTTATTGCCTATTAGGCACAACATATATACGTGTGTGTGTGGGGGGGTCTCAGGATATGAACAGTTATGTAAGTGTATTTATGTAAGTGCTTTAGTAAGTGTATTTTTGGGGGTCTGAAACGGATTAATCGAATTTACATTATTCTTTATGGGAACAAATTTTTTCGGTATCAGCACTCGAACAGCCTTCTAGAATGAAATAAGTTTGTATCCCGAGGTACCACTGTATTTATGTATATGTTATACTGTATATGTATAACCTCAAAGGAGTGACTTACCACACTTAAACTCGCCTCATTACTTAACAAAGCAGTGTACCGTGCAGTAATCTATTTTGCTGCAATATTTCACATAGGAAGCCCGTTAAAATTTGAGTTGGGAAGTATTTGATAGCACATCATGTCTGGAAGAGGATAATTGCTGCAGTGACTGGTTATTATAGTATTGTGTATGTATTCCTTTTTTTTTTTTTTTTTTTTTTTTTTTTTTTTTTTACTGAAGCATTAAACTTCATTAAATGTCATCATCAGGAGTAATAAAAATTCTGTTGATTCTGAATGCTCCTCGCCCCAGTTTCAGTGACCCTAGACCTTTGCTTTTCAGGTGCTTCACACGAGTACGTCGTGATCAAAGAACCAGTGTGATGTCTCGGCCACAATGTTCTTGGGTGCCTGCAGAATTCTGTGCTGTTTGGAAAAACCTGCATATATGTCGGGTCAGTTTGCTGTATTACTCATACTTGTGTTTAATGAAGCAGGTAATTTTTTTCTGCTAATGCTTTCACTGTCACAACCCCAAAATTAAAAGTGCAGACAGTTTCACGATTTAAGAAAATATTCTGAAACGGATCCTATTTTAAGACAGTTCAATTGCTCGATTCAACCACTTTCTTAGTTATTTCACTAATATGCCTTCCGTTCTATTGACTGAGCCCAAGGAACTGCCTATTCAGCTGTCAGAACGACCCTGTGAAGTACACAGAAATTGGTACTTTGTCAGCAAATTCCAATTTAAAAACAGCTCGGAATAAACACTATGAATTCCAGCCCTTAAAACAATCTGTCCTTTGTTCATTAATCACATCCCCAGGCCTCTCCTATATCATACTTGCCTTTCATTTTGAATCCATCATCACACAAGAAGTCTAAGTTTTACCCTATTTCTCATATTAATAAAATACAACCAAGAGAGATTATTCATGGTTTAGTGCATCCCAATTATTAAAGAAGACCTAATAAAAACTTATAAAACATAACTGCAGAAGGTTAGGGAGCTTTATCCTTTCTCAGGAAAATCGTCAGATCTAATACGTATTGCCTATACTGTACTTTGAACCCAAAATCGTCTATTTCACTAGTATGGCTTCTGTCCTCTCAGATATACATTATTATGTACCACAAACAGCACTACTTACATTATACTATTCACTGATCTACCTCGCCTATGATATTTGTGCCTGGGGAATCCACAACAGCAATTCACCTTAAGCCAATAATAACCCAAAAAAAAGCCGTAAAAATGATCACACAGTCCACTGCTAACAACCCCCTCCCCTCATCTTCAAAGCCCTTAACCACCACTCACAAAACTTTCACTTTTACTACTGGCCCCCTACATTTACAAAACAATAAATTCTAATATAATCCAGCCTGAAGCATTTTATTGGTAGCGCAACGGGACCCATGACAGTAAAATATTTGGCAAAAAAATCCTGACATTTCCCCCGTGCCCGGGCTAAATCTCTTAAAAAATTTCACTGTACAAAAAAAGGCCCCAAAAATCGGAATTCTCTGCTGGAAATCCCAAAACCACTTCTCAGCCATATTTTCAAAACTACTTTTAAAAAAAAAACCTTCTCCCCCCAAACATCCCAATTCATTAAAAAATGGTAAAAACTACATATCCATATTTTCAAAGTCACGAACACATGTAAAACACAATATACAGTAATCTTATTCTCAATATCTGTAATCCTCCCAATCATTAAAACACTGATTTTGTCCACTTTGTTAATATGCTTGACTCCTCATCACCTATAATTATAATCAAACCTGTAATTGCTTAACAATTAAACTTGATAAAAGCCATATAGCATGAACTAATAGGATATTCAATGCTCTTTTATTCATTGTCATTCCTAAATTTATATTTACATGCACCTAAGAGACAGTATGCTTAAAATTACAGAAATTGTCATTCCCTTTTTAATCTTAAGTTAATCTAAGTTTGCAGAAAATACTCTGTGTATTAAGGGGCTTTCTGCATTCACACTTAAATCACACCTTGTACTACTATTATTATTTTTATTAATTGATACCAAGAAACTGCCAAAAAAAAAAAAAAATTCTAGAAAATACCTCAGTCACTATTTTAATTAAACCAAACATAAGGTCAGAGATTTGCTTTTCCCATCATGCACCACATTGGTGAGGATTTTTTTTTTTATGCTGTGTACACTGCACAGACCCATTCTTTCATGTCTAGGCCAAAATTTATTGCTCGCAGCATATTTGAGGGCAGTTTGCTTAAACTGTAGATCAACGTAAGCGACAGTGGGGATAATGTAGATTTACGTGAGACATTGAAAGGATTAACCATGAGACTAACCTTTATTAAATACTACACTAAAGGATTTTCTTTATTATTCCTGAAATTTCCTTTTCAGTGTAGGAGGGCTGGTCTGAAACCAGTCTTCAGGGGATATGATCCCTGAAATTGATAACATGTACACAATATAGTGTATTGTTTGATAATATCCTCGGTACCCTCTTGCAGTCTCCCAGCTCAGGCTGACAAATTTCAGTGCTAACCAATCCAATATACACATTGGATATGATGAAGAAACCCAAAATGTGTGATGGGTGTATTAAGTAACTGTAGTTCTAGCAAAACAGTCTTGTAAAATGTCTTACAGATCATGGTAGCTGCACATATGGTGTATCAAATTTTGATAATTCTTTGACTGCTTTGGTCGTATATGTACGTCTTACCAGCCACCGTTTTTGACGTATATATAGTACTCGTAAATTCTAGCAGCTTCAAATCAAGCAGGAGAAAGCTGGTAGTCCCGCATGTGAGAGAATAGGTCTGTGTGGTCAGTGTGCACCATATAAAAAAATCCTGCAGCATGCAGTGCATGAGAAAAAAAAAACTCCGACCGTTATTTTTTAATTAAAATGCTGACTTTGTGGTCTATTTTCGTATAGTATTTATGGTTGTATTCTTGTTTTCTGGGTCTCATTTGATAGAATGGAAAACATATTATAGAAATAGAGGTGATTTTGATTGGTTTTACTAGGAAAAGAACCTTGAATTGGAGCTCCAAGTAGGGGAAATGTTAGATTTTTGCCGATGTTCAAAAGTAAACAAATGATGTCATTTTCCAATAAATGTCCAAGTAGCCATTGTAATATGCAGTCATGAATGGGTTGACATTATTTATACAATTATTACAATATTGCAGTAGTCTGCATAAAAGTAAATCTTCTATTTTTTGTTTGAATAAAAATTCAAAATGAAAAGCAAGAGTAATATCAGAGGGACCTGGAGACGTGACTGATGAACAAAGAAAATGTTATTTTAGAGCCAGGAATGTCTGCATTGTTCATTCTGGATCCTATTTTGAAATAGTTATATTTTTTTAATTTTCGTGAAATTGGCCAAATTGCAAATTTCTGACCATGTTATTGGGTAGTTGTAATCGGTAAATAGGCAGTTTCTTGTACTCAATCGATAGAAAAAATGTAGTTCTAAAGAAATAGCTATGAGTTTGGTCGAGTGGAACAATGGAATTAGCCGAAAATAGGGCTCAAAGTGGGCAAAATCGCCGCTTCGTAAATGTCGCTAACTTTGCGAGAGCATAATTCCGTCAGTTTTCCATCAAATTTTATTCTTTTGGTGTCATTACAATCAGGATAAGATTCTCTATCATTTCTTAAGATTTTTTTTTTTTTAAATTTTGCGACACTAGGAGACTCCTCAGGATTTGGGGTATGCGACAGCCAAGGGGTTAAACGCAAAAAAACGTATATCAGTGGTATTCAACATCTGGGTATCATTACTTGTAGACATTTTGCCATACAGTGACTTAATTAATACATGGATTTAATATGAAAATTGTATTAACAAAATGCTGTAAAGCAAAGTGCTTTAACCCTTTGAGGGTTTTGGCCATACTAGTACGGCTTACGACCCAGGGTTTTTGACGTACTAGTACGCCTAAATTCTAGCGCCCTCAAATCTAGTGGGAGAAAGCTGGTAGGCATACATATGAAAGAATGGGTCTATGTGGTCAGTGTGCGCTGTATAAAAAAAATCCTGCAGCACGCAGTGCATAATGAGAAAAAAAAACTGACCGTTTTTTTGGAATAAAATAGTGACTTTGCACTGTATTTTCATATGGTATTTATTGTATTCTAGTTTTTCTGGTCTCATTTTATAGAATGGAAGACATTACAGAAATTGAGATGATTTTGACTGGTTTTACAATGAAAAGTACCTTGAAATTGAGCTCAAAGTAACAGAAATGTTTGATTTTTAACCAAAGTTCAAAAATAAACAAATCATGCCAAGCATCCAATACACGTCAACTGGGGAGTCTAATATTCTTTCACAAGTGCGCTGATATTATTTATACCATTTCTACACTAATGCAGTAGTCTGCATAACAGTAAATCTTCTATTTTTTGTAAGAATAAAAATTGAAAGTGGAAAGCCAAAGAAATATAAGAAAGGCCTGGGGATGTGACTAACAAACAGAGGAAATGTTATTTTAGTGCCAGGAATGACTTTCTTGTTTATTCTGGACCCTATTAGGAAATTGGCATCTTTAAATTTGTGTAAATGACAAAATTGCAAATGAGCCAAAGAAATTATAAGAAAGGCTGGGGATTGACTACAAAACAGAGAAATGTTATTTTAGTGCAGGAATGTCTTTATTGTTTATTGTCTGGACCCTATTAGGAAATTGGCATCTTTTGAAATTTGTGTGGAAATGTTGGCAAACATATGCTAAATTCTGAGACACACTGTTTGATAGTTTAAATCAGTATATGGGTGGTTTACTGTATCATTCAAAAAAATAGTAGTTCTAGAGAAATATAATTGTTTTTTGTTCGATAGTACACTGGAATGGCAAAAATAGGGCTCAAAGTGGCAAAATCGCTGAAGCGTTAATCATCGAGCCGCTATTCTGATAGCATAATTCGTAAGTTTATCATCAAAATTCATACTTTTGGTGTCATTATGTCGGAAACAATTCCTCTATCTTTCATAAGAAAAAATAATTTTTTTTTTTTTAAATTTGGCCGACACTGAGAAACAAACTCAGAGGCCCTGGTACGACACATCTAAAGGTAACGAGCCCTCTTTATATCGATAAAATATTGTTAAGCACAAAAGAAAACCGAGAGCATGCAGTTCAGTTTTCAACACACACCATCCTCCTGAAGTAACACACCATCCTCCTGAAGTGGCATGGTCAGGTTGGTATCTCATGACTTATCACCTGCTCTCATCATGTATATTATCTATACTCATCATCATATCTCTATAGATTTAATAAAGCTTCACTTCCACAAATGTTGGCCCAATAAAAGTTTCCATCCTACCATAATGTTATTTTCTTAGGTTCTTGTGTTTTACCTCTTTTGCAGTAAAATAGTTTTTTAACACATCAGCCATTTCCCACCAAGGTAGTGTGACCCGAAAAAGAAGGAAACGCTTTCATCATCATTCACTCCATCACTGTCTTGCCAGAGGCACGTCTACACTACTGTTATTAAACTGCAACTTTTCTCCATGCCTCCTTCCGAGTCCAGCCCTGTACTTCCCACCTCCAGGACTTAAGTCCCTGAATCCCTTCATAAATGTTACCTTGCTAACACTCCAACAGCACGTCAGGTCATAAAAACCTTTCCTAGGCCAGCTCCTACCCTGCCTTCCTTCCACTACCAATTTATATGCTCTCCAAGTAATTCTGTTTTGTTCCATCCTCTCTAAATGTCCGAACCACCTCGACACCCCTTCCTCAGCCCTCTGGATAATACTTCAGTAACCCCGCACCTCCTCCTAATTTCCAATCTATTATTAACTGATGTGCATTTATTAATAACATTCACATATTAATATATATTGTATTTCTAAAAGCTGCATGTTTCCAGGTGGAGAATGCCAGCACATTGTGGGTTCGAGAAGTTCACTCCAGCTCAATGTCCAATGAGCTGATTCTATTCCATCAGATGGAAAAACAGATGAACATTCACTTCAAAGAGAAGTCACCAGATTGTTCTTTATTGCAGTTCCCAGCTAATGTTAAAGATGTAAGTTCAATAATGCCAAGGGAAGCACCAAATGTATCTATGAGAATTTTTTTTTTAAACACATTGACCATTTCCAGCGTAGGCAGGGAGGGTGACCCAAAAAAGAAGTTACACTTTCCTAAAGGTTTTTCTTTTATTTTTACATTTAGTAATTTATACAGGAAAAGGGGTTACTAGCCCCTTGCTACCATGAGAAAAGGTAATAATACTTAAAACCAAATAAGAAAGCTAATATAGTTATATTGCTTGGTTTTAAATTGCTTATATTCAACTTGAGCATAACACTGTTGGTGTTTTTTTGTTTGTGTGAATAATGGTAAATGGGTTTCCTTTCTTTTGGGTCATTCTACCTTGGTGGTAGACAGCTGTTGATAAAAAAAAATTATGTAGGATGATTTTAATGAAGCTTGTGTTATTTATTAATGTACATGAAGAGTTAATGCTGTGTAGCCTTGGTGACATTATGTATTTGAACCACAGGATGCCTTTGTCTGCATTCTTGTATTGCATTATGATGCTCGAGTATTTGATGGAATTAGCACCACTAATACCTTGATTATGTATTCTATTACGATGTGGCTAAACTTATTAATTTTGTCAATAAGTAATTAATTACTACAGCAACTTGCTTTGTTGATATATACAACCGGTATACTACTTTCAACTTGTCCCATTGTAATACTCTCGTATTATAATTTGAGTCAATTTACTATTTGCTATACATATATCCAAATGGATGTACAACTGTAACAAACTATGATCTATTTGTCTAGTATTAAGTAGTCTGTAAACTATTAAATTTAGACTGCCCGTAATGCCAAGGCATGATAGTGGCTCTCTTTGCACTGCAAATCATTATTGTAATTTTTTTTTTTTTTTTTTCTCTCAACAAGTCGGCCGTCTCCCACCGAGGCAGGGTGACCCAAAAAAGAAAGAAAATCCCCAAAAAGAAAATACTTTCATCATCATTCAACACTTTCACCGACACACACATTATCACTGCTTTTGCAGAGGTGCTCAGAATACAACAGTTCAGAAGCATATACGTATAAAGATACACAACATATCCCTCCAAACTGCCAATATCCCAAACTCTTCCTTTAAAGTGCAGGCATTGTACTTCCCATTTCCAGGACTCAAGTCCGACTATATGAAAATAACCGGTTTTCCTGAATCCCTTCACTAAATATTACCCTGCTCACACCCCAAACAGATCGTCAGGTCCCAAGTATCATTCGCCCTCCATTCACCCCTATCAAAACACGCTCATGCACGCTTGCTGGAGTCCAAGCCCCTAGCCCACAAAACCTCCTTTACCCCCTCTTTCCAACCCTTTCGAGGATGCCCCCTACCCTCCCTTCCTTCCCCTATAGATTTATATGCTTTCCATGTCATTCTACTTTGATCCATTCTCTCTAAATGACCATACCACCTCAACAACCCTCTTGCCTCTGACTAATGCTTTTTTTTAACTCCACACCTTCTCCTAATTTCCACACTCTGAATTTTCTGCATAATATTTACCCCAAACACATTGCCCTTAGACAGGACATCTCCACTGCCTCCAACCGTCTCCTCGCTGCTGCATTTACCACCCAAGTTTTCACATCCAATAAAGAGTGTTGGTACTACTATACTTTCATACATTCCCTTCTTTGCCTCCATAGATAATGTTTTTTGACTCCACATATACTCAACACACCACTCACCTTTTTTCCCTCATCAGTTCTATGTTTAACCTTCATCCTTCATTAAATCCATCCGCCGAAAACGTCAACTCCCAAGTATCTGAAAACATTCACTTCTTCCATACTCCTCCTCCCCAATTTAATATCCAATTTTTTCTTTATCTAAATCATTTGATACCCTCATCACCTTACTCTTTTCTATGTTCACTTTCAACTTTCTACCTTTACACACATTCTCAAACTCATCCACTAACCTTTGCAATTTTTCTTTAGAATCCCCCATAAGCACAGCATCATCAGCAAAAAGTAACTGTGTCAATTCCATTTTGAATTGTTTCCCCCATAATTTAATCCACCCTGTCCCAACCCCTAGCATTTACTTCTTTTACAACCCCATCTATAAATTATTAAACAACCATGGTGACATTACCCCACCCTGTCTAAGACCTACTTTTCCGGGAAGTAGTTCTCCCTCTCTTCTACAAAACCCTAACCTGAGCCTCACATCCTCATAAAAACTCTTTACAGCATTTAGTAACTTACCACCTATTCCATATACTTGCAACATCTGCCACATTGCTCCTCTATCCACTCTATCATATGCCTTTTCTAAATCCATAAATGCAATAAAAAACTTCCCTACCTTTATCTAAATACTGTTCACATATAATGCTTTTATTGTAAACACTTGATCTACACATCCCCCACCCACTGAAGCCTCCTGCTCATCCCAATCCTACATTCGTCTTCCTCTAATTCTTTCAAATTTTAACCCTACCGTATACTTTTCCTGGGAAACTTATTCCTCTATAATTTTTACAATCTCTTTTGTCCCTTTCCCTTTTATAAAGGGACTATACATGCTCTCCCCCCAATCCCTAGGTACCTTCCCCTCTTTCATACATTTATTAAACAAAAAGTACCAACCACTCCAACACTATATCCCCCGCTGCTTTTAACATTTCTGTCATGATCCCATCAGTTCCAGTGCTTTACCCCCTTTCATTCTAGTAATGCCTCACGTACCTCCACCACACTTACATTCTGCTCTTCCCTTTACTCCTAAAAGAGGTATACCTCCCTGGCCAGTGCATGAAATTACCGCCTCCCTTTCTCCTTAACATTTAAAAGTTCTCAAATATTCTCGCCATCTACCTAATACCTCCCTCTCCCCATCCCATAACTCCCTACTCTGGTTTTTACTGACCAAAACCATACTTTCCCTAGGCTTTCTTTAAATTGTTTAACTCACTTTTCCCAAATTTTTTTTTATTTTCATTAAAATTTCTTGACAGTGGCCCCTCCCACTCTTTCATCTGCTTTTCCTTTTGCACTCTCTCACCACTCTCTTCACCTTTCTTTTACTCTCCATATACTCTGCTCTTCTTATAACACTTCTGCTTTGTAAAAAACCTCTCGTAAGCTACCCTTTTTCTCTTTATCACACCCTTTACTTCATCATTCCACCAATCACTCCTCTTTCCTCCTGCCCCACCCTCCTATAACCACAAACTTCTGCCCCACATTCTAATTACTTGCATTTTTAAAAACTATTCCAACCCCCTTCAACCCCCTCCACTACTCATCTTTGCACTAGCCCACCTTTCTGCCAATAGTCGCTTATATCTCGCCCGAACTTCCTCCTCCCTTAGTTTATACACTTTCACCTCCCTCTTACTTGTTGTTGCCACCTTCCTCTTTTCCCATCTACCTCTTACTCTAACTGTAGCTACAACTAAAAAAATGATCCGATATATCAGTTGCCCCTCTATAAAATGTACATCCTGGAGCCTACCCATCAACCTTTTATCCACCATAACATAATCTAACAAATAATTTCATTACGTGCTAAAATCATACCTTGTATATTTATTTCCCTCTTTTTTTATAAAATATGTTTTTACTTATTGCCAAATTTCTTTCTACAATAGCTCAATTAAAAGGCTCCCATTTACATTTACCCCTGGCACCCCAAATTTACCTACTACTCCCTCTATAACATTTTTACCCACTTTAGCATTGAAATCCCCAACCACCATTTCTCTCACACTTGATTCAAAACTCCCCACGCATTCACTCAACATTTCCCAGAATCTCTCTCTCTCCTCTACACTTCTCTCTTCTCCAGGTGCATACACGCTTACTATAACCCACTTTTCACATCCAATCTTTATTTTACTCTACATAATCCTTGAATTTATACATTTGTAGTCCCTCTTTTCCTGCCATAACTTATCCTTCAATTATTGTAATTACATACTATAAACTATGTAAATACGACTCCCGACAACATATCGGTGTCATTGTAAACTTGCAAAGAATTAAAAATTTGAATTTGACTGGAATTTTGGTGCCCAGTTCCTGGACCCATTCAGTGTTTAGGTTGGTAGCACACTCGGGTCACACACTGAGGTTTGTGGTTCGATCCCAGTACTGGTGGAAAACATTTTTGGGGGGCATTTTTCCCTTTAAAAAACCTGGGGTCACTGTTCCCCCTAATAAATAAGTAGGTCCCTTTGGGGGGTTTTGCCCCCTGGTATTGGGACATCATGAGAACAAAAAATTTAACTAATTTGTCCAAAAAAGTTTTAGCATAACCCAGCACTTTCCGGGAAGTATGCATTGATGGGCACTATGGCGGGATATGTTGTATCAAAGTACTTGTAGAAAAAAGATTATTTCAATTATTATAAAACTTTTTTATTATTATTATCGTGGGAAAAAAGTATAAAAAAACCGACCCAAAAGGGAAAATTTTTGATACATGTGGGAACATCTGGGTATCTTTTTTGTTTAAAAGTTTTGCCATCCATGGCTTTATCCCAATTTTTGTTTTTGGACATAATTAGAAGACAGTAAACTAAATCCCAAAAAATGAGGATTCCCTCCCCAGCCTTGGAGTTAGGGGTTCCCATCGTGGTGGTGGGGGATCTGGAGCAAAGGTAAGGGGGACTGGGGGTTTATATTGGCGTCAGTGGATAGGGAAAAGTGGGAGAGAAGAGGGGTAGCCCCGGTATGGGATTCCCCCGTGGAAGTAGGTCCTACCCTCCTAATATTTATTTTAAAAAAAAAAAAAAAAAATTTCAGTAAGACGCCCAATTAGGATAAAATGAAACTAATTTCCGCCACGCAGTGCCTGAATCAGCATGTCGCTGTTTCGTATACAATTAAACTAAAACAACGCAGCTTTCGCATCTCCGAAGTCTTAGCAAAATTCCACCTAAAACCCTGCCATTCACATAGTTCCCTTAGTATAGTACACAATAGCACGAGATGTGAACACTGAAACAAGCTGCTCATTAAGTTTTATATGTCCAACCTATTTTTATGTTTCCCAAGTAATAGCTTTTATATTTGTTCCTTTTACTCATGTACGAATAAATTGCTCTACAATATTGTATATACTATTTGTCACACAATAACTACTACTACATACTACCACTAGATGAACATCGAAATGGCCTCACTAGATCACCTCACTCTGAGCTTTATAATACCCTTGTGATCCATGTATTGTATTGTAATTGCTGAATAAGCTCCTGGAGAGCGAAACGTATGCCACAATAATGTCACATTAGTCCTTGTCCTTATTACTTTACATATTGTCGGTAATTCTACCAAACTTTATTACAATCTGTCGGACACCGCAACGTAAGGGACATTTCATGAGCTATATTATGGACACCCTCTCGTGCTCACAAAGTATCGGCAAAGACACAACTTCCTATCCAGATGTTGCACACTGTGTCTTAACTCTCATAGTGATATATTATTATTATTATTATTATTATATTATTTATTTATTATTATTATTTAATTTATTATATTATTATTTATATATTTATTATTTATTATTTATATTTATTATTTATTATTATTATTTATTATTTATTATTTATTTATTATTATTTATATTTATTATTATTATTATTATTTTGGGTATGATGTGCATAATAAAGACTGTCAAACCAAATCTAAAGTTTCCATTCTCTGCTGGTCTCTTGAATTTGTTAGCATGTTATGGGATTTGCTTTTGTTATGTAATTTATAGTGTAATGTACTCCTCAGACTGTTGTGGTTCATCACGAGGGCCACTGGTTCCGAGGGTTGGTGGAGAGCATAACAAACAACAAGGAACGGAAACTGCATATTTTCCTCCTCGACTATGGAGTCACAGTTGAGGCTCATGTAAGCTAATATGAACACTACCCTTGGGGGATTGTTATTGACCTTTCTGTGATTGTTACTCATTATGTGGGAGTGTTTTATTCATCAGGGAAAATTTCTCCTGATACTAGTCTTAGTCATATGATAATCTGGTCAGTGGAACTTACGGTCATTTGATCAAGTTTTGCTGGCTTACCAATTCACTCCATATAATTTTTTTTTTAAATGCTATCCGTCTCCTACCTAAGATAGGGTGACCTGAAAAAAAAGCACTTTAACCATCATTCAACACTTTCATCATCATATATACAGTCTCTTCTCGCTTAGCGACGTACTTGTTTATGGACGACTCGGACTTAAGACAGGCTCTCTGACCAGTATACATACCTATGTATAATAGTTGATTTTCTCTATTTTGTTTATTACAATATACAGTACACTACTGTATAAACATTTAAAAATATACTAGAAATGTTATAAATGGTGCAAAGGTGACATAAAAATAATATCAAAGATGGGTGACACAAACCCACTACCATTATAGTATGCTCCTCACTTAGCAATGAATTCGTTTACCAACGTGGTCTTAGGAACGGAACTCCGTCATTAAGTGAGGAGAGGCTGTATATAATTTTTTTTTTCAACACCAACCATATCCCACCGAGGCAGGGTGACCTAAAAAGAAAAACAAAAGTTTTTCTTTTTAAATTTATTAATTTATACAGGAGAAAGGGTTACTAGCCCCTTCCTCCTGGAATTTTAGTTGCCTCTTATGACACGCATGGCTTATTTATCTGTTCATTTATTTATCCAGGGTTTCTGACGCACTAGTACGGCTTACGCACCAGGGTTATTGACGTACTAGTATGCTTAAATTCTAGCGCCTTCAAATTTAGCAAGAGAAAGCTGGTAGGCCTACATATGAAAGAATGGGTCTGTGGTCAGTGTGCACAGTATAAAAAAAATCCTGCAGCACACAGTGCATAATGAGAAAAAAAACTTTGACCGTGTTTTTGGTTTAAAACAGCAACTTTGCACTGTATTTTCATATGGTATTTATGGTTGTATTCTAGTTTTCCTGGTCTCATTTTATAGAATGGAAGATATATTATAGAAATTGAGATGATTTTGATTGGTTTCACAATGAAAAGGAGCTTGAAATTGAGCTCAAAGTAGCAGAAATGTTTGATTTTTGCCAAAGTTCAAAAGTAAACAAATCGTGCCACGCGTTCAATACACATCAACTGGCGAGTCTGATATTCTTTCACAAGTGAGCTGATATTATTTATACCATTTCTACACTAATGCAGTAGTCTGCATAACAGTAAATCTTCTATATTTTGTGAGAATAAAAATTCAAAGTGGAAAGCAAAAGAAATGTAAGAGGGGCCTGGGGACATAACTAATGAACAGAGAAAATGTTATTTTAGTGCCAGGAATGTCTGTTTTGTTTATTCTGAACCCTACCACGAGCAGGATTTGAACCCACGGTCAGTGTGTCTCAAAACTCCAGACCGTCGCGTTAGCCACTGGACCAGCTAGCCACAATAAGATTTGTTCAACTAGGTATATTTCTACACCATAGGAAGGTTAGCATAGGCACCACTGTGACCATAAATGCAAGTTTTTACAGACGAATCTCCAGCTAGCGTGGCCGTGACGAACTCTAGCTCAAGTCCCCTCACTGCCGTCAACAAATATACCTAGTTGGACGAATCTTAGTGTGGCTAGCTGGTCCAGTGGCTAACGCGACAGTCTGGAGTTTCGCGACTCTCTGACCGCGGGTTCAAATCCCGCCCGTGGTATGGTTTGTTTGCAATCGTGTCATTACGATTTCGTGAGTCATTCTGAACCCTATTTGGAAATTGGCATCTTTTGAAATTTGTGTGAAATTGGCAAAATTGCCAATTTCTGACCACTTTATTGGATAGTTGAAATCGGTAAATGGGTGGTTTCTTGTACTCATTCGATAGAAAAAATGGAGTTCTAGCAAAATAGTTATGATTGTTATCGACTAGTACACTGGAATTGGTCGAAAATAGGGCTCAAAGTGGGTGAAATCGCCGATGTGTAAACATCGTCGAGACCGCTAACTTCGTGAGAGCATAATTCCATCAGATTTCATACTGTTGGTGTCACTATGATTGGGAAAAGATTCTCTATCCTTTCACAAGAAAAAATAACTTTTTTTTTTTCCTAAAAATTTTCGACCTTGAGAACAAGTTTAGGAGAGAGCCTCTCGACCCTGAAAGGGTTAATTATTTATATTAATTTATTTATCTTTGTTTTTTTACTCATTTCTGTACTCTAGGGATGTAGTATATATAGGCTGAGTGCTGGTGAGTGGATGAGTGTTCCCTATCAAGCTAAACGTGTTCAAGTATTCGGTGTTGTACCTGTGTCGCTGCATTACTCGCTCTCTGCACTGGACCTCAAACTTAAGCTAAAGCAAGTTTCAAGTTTTTATTTATTGTAATAAATGTGTTGTTGGTGAGGTATTATGATATACACTTGTTACACCCTTCCAAGCTTTACTAGTATTACACTTGTTACACCCTTCCAAGCTTTACTAATATTATACACTTGTTGCACCCTTCCAAGCTTTACTAGTATTATACACTTGTTACACCCTTCCAAGCTTTACTAGTATTATACATTTGTTACATCCTTCCAAGCTTTACTAGTATTATACACTTGTTACACCCTTCCAAGCTTTACTAGTATGTATTATACATTTGTTATATCCTTCCAAGCTTTACTAGTACGTATTATACATTTGTTACATCCTTCCAAGCTTTACTAGTACGTATTATACATTTGTTACATCCTTCCAAGCTTTACTAGTATATATACATTTGTTACATCCTTCCAAGCTTTACTAGTACAGTGGAACCTCCTTATACGACCTTAATTCATTCCAGAATGCTGTTCAAGTGCCGCTCCGTTTGAGTATCAAACAAGTTATTCCCAACCAATTTTCTGTTTGGTTGGCTGTTATCGCTAATATTCGTTGGCCCCATAGTGACTTATTTAAACAAATAATACAAAAAAAAGTGAAGAAACACAAAATAGTTTACAGCAAAGTACTGGCAGGTCGTATTTGTTTGGTCAAGTGCTGAGCTTTGTTAGAGTAGGGAGCTGGTCATACACCAAGGTTCCACTGTATTTTATATATACTGCTTGTTACACCCTTCCAAACTACTAGTATTTGCTGCTACTCTATTGTATATACAGTGGACCCCCGCCTAACGAACACATCGCACAACGTTAATTCCGCCATACGAAGCATTTGAACGCAAAAATTTTGCCTCGCCTCACAATAAAAAACTCACCCAACGTGATTCCTCCCAAACCTGTCCGTCCAGCCTGAGCGCCTCGGCTGCCCTGCCGTCATTGTTTACAAGCCGGTTGCATGCATACATTCGATACATTTTATATTATATTCCATTGTTTATAGTGCTTGTAACTGCTAAATAAGCCCCCATGGGCCCAAAGAAAGCTTCTGGCGCCAACCCTGTGGTAAAAAGGGGCGAGGAATACGTACTATTGTACCACGGTCAGCTGTTGCTGCACCACGGTCGGTTGTTGCTGCACCACGGTCAGTTGCTGCTGCTGCTGCTCCACCACCATCAGCTGTACTACTCGAAGATGTGGAGAGTGTGTTGTTGGTGTGGCTTAATGGGAAACAGTTACCGAGAAACAATTAACCCCAGATGGTTAGCCACCCATGATAACCCAAGAAAGCCAGTGCATCATCAAGGACTGTAACTTATTTCTGTTGAGGTCCTTCATCTTGCCCCCCAGGATGCGACCCACAGCAGTTGACTAATAACTAGGTGAACAGGAAAAAATGCCTAGAACTAGTGCTCATATTGGTGAATTTAAGGCCAGCAAAGGTTGGTTTGAGAGATTTAAGAATTGTAGTGGCATACACAGTGTGATAAGGCATGGTGAAGCTGAAAAATTCCAACCCCAACAATTGTTCAGTTGTGACGTAACAGGCCTGTTCTGGAAGAAAATGCCAAATAGGACCTACATTACTCAGGAGGAAAAGGCACTCCCAGGACACAAGTCTATGAAAGACAGGCTAACTCTCATGTTTTGTTGTAATGCTAGTGGGGATTGCAAAGTGAAGCCTTTACTCATGTATCACTGTGAAAATCCCAGTGTTTTCAAGAAAAACAGTGTCTCATCAATACTCTTCAATAAAGGTAAATGTCATTTTAACATTTATTTATGTAATTATTGTGCATGTCTCATTGTTTTCTTTGTAGGGAAATGTATACAGTGGACCCCCGCATAACGATTACCTCCGAATGTGACCAATTATGTAAGTGTATTTATGTAAGTGCGTTTGTATGTGTATGTTTGGGGGTCTGAAATGGACTAATCTACTTCACAATATTTCTTATGGGAACAAATTCGGTCAGTACTGGCACCTGAACATACTTCTGGAGTGAAAAAATATCGTTAACCGGGGGTCCACTGTATTTCACGGAAAAAAAAAATTTAATACTTTTGGCTGTCTGGAACAGATTAATTGGATTTCTATTATTTCTTATGGGGAAAATTAATTCGGCTAACGATAATTTTGGCTAACGATGAGCTCTCGGGAACAGATTAATATCGTTAGGTGAGGGTACACTGTATATTGTAATTTGTCTTCAAGTCTTACATTTTTTATAATAAAAAATGTGTGTGTATGTTTTTATGTCATTA